CCACCCCCCCCCCCCCCCCCTTCTTTTTTTCACATCAAGGATTAGAATTTTATTCGTTTTGAAAATAAAGTCAAAGTGTGAGGATATAATTAAATCCTCCAATACAAGAGCACAAATGGACAAACCTAAAGACGAGTAGGAAAAGAAAAGTTAATATGAGACTCGAGGGTCCTAGACCGGTTCCTAGTGATGATCTTATGATGGATTATCGCCTCACAACGAGTGTCATCATATCTAGCTTTTATATATTCAGGATCCTCAAAGCAATCATCATGAAAGGAACGTCGACAATATTGCCTGGGGATGATAAATTATATCATCTTCTTTGAATTCATTCTTAGAGCGAAAATCTTTAAAAGCAAAAGATTAAAAATCCAATGCAACAATACAACAAAACAACACTTGTTTGTTCCTCATAAATTTATAATTGACTACACAAATAATTTTTCACCTCTCCATTCAGTTTATTGCTAGATTTACTGAGTTCATCGTTGGCAATAGATAACTTTGTAAAAAGTACGAAGAACTTGTTAAGTTGCTGTTTCTGATATCCTTTTTCTCGATTCTACAGGTGATATGTGATCATCTAGGTTTAGGTGTCAAAACCGGGCTGCCGTACATATGGCACAGCAAAGCCAGCAACCCTTTTGTGAACCTAAAAAAGGAATACCATGGCATCTTCTGGCAAGAAGAAATCATTCCATTCTTCCAAGCAGTAACTCTTTCAAAGGACAGCACAACTGTTCAGAAATGCTATGTTGAACTGTCCAAACAAGTCAAAGAAAAACTTGGCCAAATAGACCCTTATTTTGTGAAGCTTGCAGATGCAATGATCACATGGATTGAAGCATGGGACGAACTCAACCCAGCTACGGATTCTGGCAAGAAATAGATCAGAATTGGCTTCAAGTTTCTGATAATATATAGTCTTTAAGTTATAACGTATAAGTAATTATCTGATTTTTTTTTTTTTTTTTTTTTTTTTTTTTTTTTTTTTTAAAGTTGGATTTACAGCTTGTTGGGTGTATTTTTCTGTAACATGTTAGCAGTAAGACTAGAAACAATAAGCACTCAGATTTTAGGAGTTTTCTTGTTGCAAATTGGGGCAGCCTAAAAGGCTTCTATTCGGAAGCGAATTAAAAATGTTTTGTAATATGAGAGACATATGAAGACATTAGTGTTGGGGGGGGGGGGAATAAATAAATATATAATAATAATAATAATAATAATAATAATAATAATAATAATAATAATAATAATAATCATTGGAAATTCATATTGAAGTCATCTCAGAATGTATTTACAAAAGTGACAATGACTTTTTTCCAATTGCTCTTAATGTTTTGAGCGCTTAGGGTCTATTTGATTGCAAGAATGAAATTTGGGTGAAAAAAAAATGAATTCCAAGGAATTGAATTGCTTATAACTTGTTTTCGTTGGAATTATCAATTAAATATGTTTGATTGATATAATTTTACACCCAAAAAATGTTGAAATTTTCTATCGTTTGGTGTTCGTTTGACTTTATTCTTCATGAAAATTGTCAATTAAAGGGACGAAATTTGTTACAATTGAAAATAAAATTTGTTCCAATTATCAAAAAATAAAAAAAAAATAACCAGCTGAAAAACCAATTCTCATGGGTTTGGTGGGAATTGGCTTGGTCACGTGTGAGGGGCGCGGCGGGGCGGAGAGGGGGGGGCAGGGGAGGTGAAGAAATTGCCAAGAAAATTATGGCCATCAAACAGGTCAAAATGTGGAAAGTAGAAAATATTTTCCATAGAAAAACGGCCAAATCAAACAGGCCCTAAGTTGTGCGCAATTTGATTGAATCAACTTGTATGATTGAGATCACACAAAATTGGAACTTGCAAAAGAAATTGTTTATAATTGGTAAAAAGACAAAGCTAAAAGAGAACTCGAAGTATCAACCTAAAAAATTGTTTCCGAGAAAAAGTAATTTAATTTTAAGAAAATCATATTTTGCCAGTAATGGTTACTGAATTTCTAGTTTGTGCATACATCTAAATAGATTAAATATAATATAATTTCAATACCTTTGCTTATCTTTTACATAATCATGTAAATAGAATGTGTTTCATCCTAATATCATAATTTTGATATCATCCTTTCAAAAATAAACATTTGTTATTTTTCAACGAATGTGTCAACTGTCAAACTGTGTTATATTTGATCAATATAACAACAGCCGTGTAAAAAGTGTAATAAAAAAAATCGACGGGAGGGAGGCAAAATTTCCTTCCTACCCCGTAAGTAAATGATTATGTTTTTCTAGTTCTCTAATTTTAAATAAATAAATAAAAATTAAAGATACCATTTAAAATAAATTAATAATTAAACGAGACGATAAAGAAAAATATTTTTAATTGCCACTCCTACCTCGACTCCTAAAAATCCCCAACACTACAAGAGAGGTAGTGACTATCCCGACCCCACCTCGTTGCCATCCTAAAATTCAAAGAATCTTCCAAGATGACAAAAACATCTCTTAATAAATTTAAATATATTCGCTCATTTCATGCTGCATTCGCTTCCTCTGTTCCCCATAGCAGTTTCGAGCATAAATTTTAACTAAAGACAGTAATCTGTATAATCTGCATTCATTAAGGGCGATATATGATCATAGCCTGTCCACAGAAATACGCAAATACATGTATCATTACTAGTGGAGTTCTCGGTTTTCTACTATTTCCTTTTCATAAAAGAAAGTAATTGTTCAAAACGAGACGTGAAACAGAATCATAAAATTTAAACAAAATTGGAATTGCTCTGTCAAGACTCCTTGGCATGCAAGAGAATAATGTTAATCGTGTTGGGTCTCTCTCACGATTGAATAGAACATGAACCATTGCTCAGTTCGAGATGGTTATCTCTGCAAAGCAAATGCAGAGCAAGTGGACCATTGGTGTTGTATGAAGGCAGGCATATTATGATGAATTAGGAGTGGGGTCTTCCGTCTTCTTACGCTTGGAGGGCTCTTCAACTTCTTCATGGTTGTTTAATCCATTTACCACCTCAGGACCCAAAAGTGATGCGTGCTTGCTGGTGATCTGACGACCGGCCCTGAGCTTTGGTCCCCAATGTCTTTCAGGATTCGGAAGGAATCGAGCAACCTTTTTGGCTTGTGCCTTGCTAAGAGACGCTACAGCTCTTGTAAAATTAGCCTGCAAGGAAAAAAGGAAATTATACTTTTTCAGCTATCCAATCCTATTTAGCAAACAAGGACAAACGGCATGTTAGGTAGGGAGGATTGGACATGACCCCTTAGTATAACTGTATGAGGAACAGGAAAAAGATAAATTTTGTGAAGTATATCATCCTATGTACCAAAAGTGATCTTAGTTTATTGACTAAGAGTTCAATTCAAGTCAACAAAAGGAATCCACGTTAAGTGTCCAATTGCTCGTCCATTGGTTAATAACAACGGGATCGTTCCTCCTACTTAGAAATTTGATACATTTATTTGACAAAAAATCGTGACCTTTAATTTAAGTTAATCCAACATTCAATATTTTTATTTTATTAAGATTATGGTAGAGTTTGTTATAACCACTTAAGGTCCATAAGATATTGAGCGTTGAATTGACTTAAATTAAATGTAACAATTATTTGTCAAATAAGCGCGTCAAATATATAAGTAAGAGGAACGGTTCCATAATAACAAATGGGAGCACGCACCTAGTAACGAAACTACTTTATTAAATAAAAATCAGTGCATGTATTTGTCGGCGTTTTCTACATGAATATGACTATTAACTTGTAGAAAATTTTGCAGTAAAGCTTAAATTCAACACGAGAAAAGGAAAAGCAATGAATACGGAACTAAATTGACAGCATTAGTTCAGCGTCCCACCAAAAACAACCAATTTCAAAAATACAAGCCATTAATAACAAATGGAAGTCAACACTGACTAAGGAAAGAGCTTTATCAACGAAAATCGGGGCATGTCTTTGTTGAATTGTTGGTGATCTATTTAGCAACCGACTGATGACAAAAATATGAAAACGAGTAAAGGAAGTCATATACCTGCAGAATGGGTTCCTTTGCAAGTATAACACTTCCAGCCTGATCGGGTGGCTGAGCTTTCACGGGGTGATTTTTGACCTACAAAGAGAGTGTCATCAACTACAGGAACACAGCATTACAACTTTTATCCTATGAGGCAGATAACTAACAGGAAACCATGTTAGATAAAATATCTCATCATGTAAGCAAAATCAAGCAGCCACAACCCCAAGTGGCCATTGATGTGTGCTGCTCAGTAATAAGACAATAAAGACTTGTTTGGTATAGTGGACCGCAGACAATATTAAAGAGGAAAAGAAAATTAGAGCAAAATCTTGTCTATTTTATTGGTGAATGTTGAGTAATGTGGCACCGCACACCCAACATGCACTAAAAATATACACCTAAGTTCGTTCCATCAGAAGAAGCATGCCCAGATTTAAATTTCACAAAGCTCAATAAGTGCTGTGGTTTTACTAATGGAAAATTTATGAAAATTGTTTGGCAGGCATGAACAAATAGGCACCATATGAAATGACAAAACATGCATGAATTAGGTGCAGGCAAACAGGAATACTTACCCAGCAGCGCATGATATCCCAAATCACGTCCATAGGAGCATCTGTTTTCAATCCCAATGGGTTTACATGAGTTCCAGATATACGATATCCAGCATTGATAACGGCAGAGCGAAACATAACTGCAGACGGAGATGTGCATTTCAATGTTGCACAGAGATTGTGCAAACTCAGAAATAGAGGAACATCAGGCAATTCCTGCAAAATGCACCACGTTTCATTTAAACAAAAGCCAGTTTAATAATAAACAATCAAGATGCAGAGGTCATAAACAGTTTCTTCATTCCTCATTTTTCTTTAGGTTTAAACAAATAAGAGTAACCCAGATGGTGTGGAAACACCTATAGTTTAGGCAGTTATAGAAGCCCAGTCAGTAGTCTTCAAAAGGAGATAGTAACAAAATATTCTCTACAGAGGATTCCTTAAATGCGTATAGAAATTGTTCTTTTGTGCCAATAATGGGAAAGGATATAATTACTATAGAACAGTTGAACTGATATACTTATTTTCAAACTTAAAGAGATCTCTGTGTAATTGCTTTGCAAGTCATATAGAATAATAAATGAAGTGTGTACAGGAGTATGGAGAGATATCATCTCTAGGTTAGCTTAACTTTGCTAGAAAAACAAGCCCTGAAATTCACATTTTCTTATCTTAATGGTACAAATTTATTAAACAGAAGTAGCAGATCTGTGGTCCTCCAACTGACATTTAGAAAATGGGTTGTGTTTGGTGTACATAAAATATGTACATAGGGGTGTCCACACTCCTCACATGGGGTGGGGCCCATCTTGCATGGGTCCCATCCCATGTGAGGGGTATGGCCACCCTATGTACATATTTTATATACACCAAGACTTATCCTTCGAAAATTTCCATATGTATTTTTCATGTAGCTGGACGACACAACATATTAGTGACGAAACAATATGAAGAACCAAATGAAATGCTTGCTAAAACAAACAAGTGTACCTCTGAAATCGTCGTCAATACAGCTGATATTCGTTCATAAGCAGGATAACGATCTTTCATGGATTTGACATCTTCTAGAATGGAAGTCACCCATTCTTGATCGTGGATGGGAGCAGACCA